GGAGTTATTGGGCTATACTAACAGATGGGATGGGATGGACTGTGTAAACATGTTCGGTTCGGTTTTGGGTGTTCAGGAATTTTCAGAACTGCAACCGAACACCCATAGCAGGTGTTTTGCAAATATTGGAACTGCAACCGAACATGCAAACACCTCGATTTCGGTTCGGATCGGATCAGTTTGCATGTTTCGGATCGGTTTTGCCCAGCCCTAATGTCATCAACCTGCAAAGTTTAGATGTTGGCCACCTAGACACTTTGAATGAAAAAAAATTGGTTTTCAATTATTCTACCCTGGTCTCATTGAGCACCACAAGATCTATGCTTTCAGAAGTATAGGAGCATTAGGAACTTTATTACCCCAGGTTTGATGTAATAGGCATTGTCTGTAGAAAGGGGTTTTAATTTTGGTCGTGCAACTTGAGTCAATGTGGTTGTGCTTTTTGATTTGTCCTGGCTCATACTTCATTATGATTGTGGAGTTACAAAGTTTGTTTTCGCAAATGTCATATTACTTGGAAATTAAACCAAAGTAAGCTCAGAAGACTTTTACCGTTTACTTCACAATTTCTTGCAAATGAAACACTCGTATACAGAATAAGTTTCTTTCTGCATTACTAATAACAGGTACCCTGATGAAGAAGCGGGGCAAATTCCCATGGCATTTGTAGTGAGGAAACCTGGAAGCAATCTCACTGGAATTGAAGTCATGGAATTCGTCGCAAAACAGGCAAGCTTACTTCCTAGTTGCCAAGATACAATATATAATTTTAATGTTTATCTCCCTCCTGATTTAAATGCATATCCATACATTTGATGTCTTACTGTATGAAACCTTTTTCTGCCCTGTAGCATTCACGAGTGAGTCTTTTCAAAACAACTTTCATCACACAGTTAACTTATTTTCAGTATAAACCTCTAGCTTGGAAATATTATATTGTTATTGAATTTGTTCTCGAGTGGTCAGTCAGTTTTGTGTGTTCTTGTACTTTTTGCAGGTTGCACCCTATAAGAAGATTCGTCGAGTTGCATTTGTCAACTCCATTCCAAAATCTGCCGCAGGAAAGATTTTGAGGAGGGAGCTCATTGATTCCATCCAATCTAGACCTTCATCTAAATTATGATTCAATGCATTTTCCTAATCAGAGGAAAATAGCTACACAAAAATAAACTTCTTGTGTGTCATCCAAATGGTTGATGTTTTGCTTTCGGAATCTACACATATGATTGGAACTTCCCTGGTAGGGGCTTTCAAACATTATTTATGCTCTGCAAAGGAAATAAGAATTTTTGGCGCATTCTTAACAATTGTACTGTATTCAAATTTTTATTTAGTTTATCTGTAATATGTATACGTAAACTGCCTCAGATGCATCAAGTAATTGCATATTATGATATTATCTGTCTAGTAATCATTATTCCATATTAATAGATAATTTGATTTTTATTTATTTACTATTTCAATATAGTCAATAATTATTGATAATTTGGTATTCATTCTTTTAACATCTTAACCACTTACAAAAAATGTCAACCATCTTCCCCACTTCAAAGTTCAAACAAAGACATCTCTCTTTCTTTCTTCAAAGAAGTTTTAATGAAGGAAATAAACCCTAGTAATGGTTTCTGTTCTAAAACCAAAATCTACCATAGTCTTCGACCTCAAGTAATTCTCCCACCAACAAACCAACCTCTCTCTGCATCAGAATACGCAATTTCTCTTCTTCGATCATCTTCCTTATCACTTGAAAACACAATCGCTTTCATTGATTCATCAACTGGTACTTCACTTTCATATTCCGATTTCATTAAACAAACAGAATCATTGTCTTTCTCTCTTCATAATCGATTTGGATTAAAAAGAGGTGACACTGCTTTCATTCTCTCTTCAACTTCTCTTCAAATTCCAATTCTTTACTTCTCTCTTCTTTCACTTGGTGTTATTGTTTCTCCCGCCAATCCAATTAGTACAATTCCTGAAATTTCACGCCAAATTAGTCTTGTTAAACCAGTTATCGGTTTTTCTACTTCCGTTACATCTAACAAACTCCCATCTTTTCATCACGGAACGGTTCTACTTGACTCACTTGATTTCAAATCTATGCTCACGATTCAGCAACCAGGCCGAGTTAATGTTCAAGTTGTTCAAACTGATACAGCAGCAATTCTTTACTCATCAGGAACAACTGGACTAGTTAAAGGAGTTGAGTTAACTCACCGGAATTTTATTGCTTTTACTGCCGGACACAATCAAGTTCGATTGGAAATGGTGGAAGAAAACCAACCACATCCAATTGGTCTGTTTACAATTCCATTGTTTCATGTATTTGGATTCTGTGTAGCTTTGATAGCAGTGGCTTTGGGTGAGACAGCAGTGTTAATGGATAGATTTGATTTTGAGGGTATGTTGAAGGCTGTGGAAACTTATAAAGTGACTTATGTACCAGTGTCACCGCCACTTGTAGTGGCCATGGCCAAGTTAGATTTGGTGGACAAGTTTGATCTTAGCTCACTTCTTGTCGTGGCATGTGGTGGTGCTCCACTTGGTAAGGAGGTGTCAGTGAAGTTTATTTCTCGATTCCCCAACGTGCAAATAACACAGGTAAGTTTATTTGTTTATCTTATCTGTGTGCATAGTAGATTATAAGAGAATCTGTTGCATGTCACTGAACAATTCAAGACAGAATTATTAGTGTACCTAATTTCCATATTAGTGTAACAGTGTATAAGTTGAGGATTATGTTTATGTTTTGTTGGAGCATAAGTTCCTTGCATGCCGGGGTATATGTAAACTTATAGCAACTGAACCT